CAGACAGCGCCAGGGCGCAGAAGGGTTAACGGGCCGCCGGGGTCGCGCAGAGCAGGTAGAGACCCTCCCTGGGACCCCCGGCCCCGGCCGCCCTCTCCCCACCGTCAGGTTAGACCGCCCGCCCCGTGCGCCCGCGCCACCCCCGCTCCCTGCGCCGAGCGGTCGCGCCCCAGCTCAGACCCCGGCCCAGCTCCCATTGCCCGGGAAGATCTTCCAGCCCCTGGGGTCGAATTCCTGGGGAAGGGGCCTGATCTCTTGGAACTCCGGCCCCATCACCCGGGCTGAGAATGCGCCCACATTCCTAGTAAGTCACATAGTGAAGTTGGAAAACATGCCCAAGAGCTCCCCGCACGCGCCGGCGCCTCCTGCGCTCCTCCAGGAGGGTGCCGTTGGAGGACGTGTGTCCCCTCCTGTCCTGGCACTGGGGACAGGGTCGCCGGGAGGGATGTAGGTGGGTCCCCTTGATTCAGCTCAGCCTGATGGTGGAAGAGATCACAGAAGAGAGACACCTGTTGGGGTGGGCCTCCAGGACCCAGGAGCGGAGGACACCATGAGGACCGAGGAATGCTGACCCAGGACAGGAACTCCCTGCCGCGGCCCGGAATCATCCTGGCCGGTCCCTCGCCCAGCGCCCAGCGATGACCCATTTCCCCAGAGCTAGGTCCCCCTGGGGGTGAAGGGGTTAGCCCTGAGCAGGTCTCTGGTCCTTGGTCTTCACTGGTCAGTGTGGGGAGGTGTGGCCAGGAGGAACCCAGGTTTGTCCAGACGCAGGTCCAGCCTGGCACCAGAGTGACCACTCTGACCTCTACCTGCCTGCCCTGGCCTGTCAGAGACACCACATGAGGGGCATAAAAAGGGGTGAAAGCACAAATGTCTTCTATCGGTTGGAGGCAGGGGTATCGGCCCCCTGCCCAGCTGTGTAGGGGAGGGTGGGGTGGGACTTTTCCAGAGAGGAAGCCAGGCCTGGCCTGGGCCCCAGGAGCTCACGTCACCCCCCACCCCTCACTTCTCCAGGGAACTGCCAAAGCCAAACCCTGCTCGGCGGGCGGGATTATGTGTCCTGGGTAGGCCTTTGGAGAGGGGCAGCAGGATGGAGACCTGGGCAGTGGAGAGATATAGGCAGGGAGGGGGCGGAGAGGGGCCGAGCATCCGACGTGGGGCAGACGCATACCCACACTCCACCTCCCTTAAACTGCGAATGCCAGAGTCAAGCAGAGGCCAGCTTGGGCAGAATGGGGGACCTTCTCCTGAGCCCCCAGCTTTCCCACATTAGGGGTACCTTGGTGGCCAGCCTAACCAGGGGAGGGAGGCCATCAGCACCCCCTTCCCACCCTGGGCAGCTGAGGTGCCCTGCCACTCCAGCTCAACCACTCTGGTCCCTCCCTCCAGTTCTCAAATCCTGGGGTCTCGGGAAGGCCATGGGGCTGAGTGGCTACCCACAAGCACATTCCTGCCCTCCCTCTGTCATGTCGCTTTCCTGCCCCAGAGCTGGCCCACCTCACAGCCGCTCCTTGGATCCCTCTCCCGGGTGCCTTTCGGATCCAACAGAAACAGGTTTTTTTTTTTTTCCTGGAAAGCAGAACCAAGGGCAGGATGAGAATTGGGGGTGGGAAGGGCTCAAAGTGAGAAGGAAGGGGCTGGAGGACAAGAGGGTCAGGGAGTCAGGCTTGAGGCCAGGGAGGGTGAGGCCCCACTTCCCTGGTGGTCAAAGCTAGACTTCAGGACGGACTGCCTGGCTCTTAGACTCAGAGGCCTGGATTGGGAGAAAGGGCAGGACTAGCTGCGTCCTCCCTCCCAGCTCTCACAGCCATTGAGGCAGTGCAGGGACTAGACCCTCGGGTACCAGAGTGGAGCTTAATCCCCTGCTGCTTCTCTGGAGGTTAAACCATCAGCCCACTTAGTTTAGCCTTTGGCCAAGACAAGTCTGAGGTGGGCCGGGATGTGCCTGACCATAGGAGCATAGCTAAGAAGGGAAGAAAAAGCTGGGAGGCAGGCAGGAAACAGGTGATGGCAAAGGTCTTCCTTCTGAAAACCCAAAGGGCAATTTTTTCTCAGCTCTCAGAGGGGCCTTCTGGCATCTTCTCACCTGAGCCTCCCTCCTCAACTTTCCAGGTACCTCTGGGGGGGCAGGGGTGGCAGCCAAAGGAAACCATCTTAAGGAGCCTGGGGACCAGCAGGTGGCATGGTGGTTAAGGCGCTGGACTCCCACATGGTCAGCCACAGTTCAAGTCCTGGACCTGTCAGCTTGAAACTCATACTGGGCATGTGTGTGTGTGCCCAAACTCCCAAGAGAAGATTGGAGAAGGGATTGCAAATTGCATCATGCCCCTCCCCCCGGGGGGTGTGATTTCTCACTTTCTCTTTGTGTCTCCAATGAGTGCACATGCCCTATGGCAAAAAAAATCTCGTTTTAAGAGAGGTTTTTTTTTTTTTATTTTTTTGCTAAATGGTTCGTGGGCTCGCTGGAGAAATCACCTCCCCAGGGGATGGCCACACAATTCTTTTTTTCTTTTTTTTTTTTTAAGATTTTTTTAAGGGATGGGACCAGTAGATGGTATAATGGCTATGTCGCTAGACTCCCATGTAGTAGACCACCGTTTTAGTCCCGGACTTGGTGACTTAAACTCAGACCAGGTGCGTGTGCGTGGTGCCCAAGATCCCAAGAGGAGAATGGAGGAGAAGGGACTGTGGTGTGGCCATCCCCCCTGGGGGGTGATTTCTCGCTTTCTGTCTCTCTGTCTTTCTCTTTCTGGTGGGTGCACACACCCTATAGCAAAAGCCTCTCCAAAAAAAAAAAATGAAACACTAAAAAAATTATTATTTAAGGGAAAACAAAGAATTATTTATGGGACCAGCAGATGGTGTAATGGCTATGTCGCTAGACTCCCATGTAGTAGACCACCGTTTTAGTCCCGGACTTGGTGACTTAAACTCAGACCAGGTGCGTGTGCGTGGTGCCCAAGATCCCAAGAGGAGAATGGAGGAGAAGGGACTGTGGTGTGGCCATCCCCCCTGGGGGGTGATTTCTCGCTTTCTGTCTCTGTCTCTCTCTTCCTGGCAAGCGCACGCCGCCCTATAGCAAAAACCTCTCCAAAAAAAGAATTATTCAATTCAATTTAATTTATTATTATTATTTTCCAGTTTAATCAGAGAGAAACAGAGAAAGAGAGGTTTTTGCTATAGGGCGGCGTGCGCTTGCCAGGAAGAGAGAGACAGAGACAGAAAGCGAGAAATCACCCCCCAGGGGGGATGGCCACACCACAGTCCCTTCTCCTCCATTCTCCTCTTGGGATTTTGGGCATGCAGGCACACCTGGCGTGAGTTTTAAGCTGCTGGGTCTAGGACTCGAACAGCGTGGAAGTCCAGCCCTGTAACCATTATACCATCCACTGGTCCCACAAAAAGCCCTTTTAAAAAAAGAAAAGACTGCCTGTCTGCCAGATCCAGCTTAGAAAGAGCCCCTAGTTGGGACTTGGGAGGAGCTGATAAGTCGTAGCCACGGGAGAGGGCCAGCTGAGGTCAGACCCCCACCCTAGCCTGGCCAGATGGACAGAGACAGCATTCCTTCCTGCTCCCACCCTTGGCTGGGGGGCTGTCTCCCCGCCCCTGTCCTCTCTGAGACATCCTGCTAGGAGCTCCTGGAGACCATGGAGGTAACCGCCAGGCTTCTGTCCCTGCAGAGCGCGCGCCTCTCCGCGCAGATGCCTGAGTAGTGGTCACAGCCAGTCTGGTCCCCTCCTCCCTTGCCCCGGGGCCATCAAGGGAGGATG